TTTTTAGATGAGAATATAAGACACAAAAGAAAACACTAAAGGGAAACTGAAAACCCTAATGTTGTCATACAAAATGGTCCTAAGGTTAGGATGAAAAGGAAGTCTACCTAATGTTATCAAACAAATGATGGACCTAAAGTTGAGGTAAAAGGGACTATCCTAATTGTTATCGTGCAAATGATTAAAAGCCTAATGTCTCTCCTACTCTCGTCTTAATAAGAAATTAAGAGGGAATGGGAATCCTAAGGGATTATGTGAGCAAACACAAGTAAACACCATCCAATTTAATCACAAATGAAAACAATAATGAAACTTAAACAAGTTCCAAAAGAGAAGAAAGATGAAGAAGAAAGAAGGAATGCAAGATGAAGAACATACATGAAAATTCAAAAGTAAAGCATCAAGTAAACATCAATCAATGACCACACATGGTAAACATCAACAACATATCAAAGCAACAAGAATGAGCTCACACCATGTCAAAAGATTTGCAAACAAAAACACAATGGCAAAGCAAAAGTGCCCACACACATCCAAACATCAATAGGCATCACCAATCACAAATCAAGATGAAATCAAAAGGCACAAGAAACATGGTAGGGCAGTAGCACAAAACCTCATACTCAAATCATACCAATGATCAAAGAGAGAGCATCAAGAAACAAGTCATGCATACTATTCAAAAGCAAACCACAAATTAACACAAAACAAGTGTGCAAAGCAAACATCCCAAAGGCAAAGGCACGAGGACATGACATGAAACCAAAGTGAAGCCACACACCAACATGATCAACACGTTTAACATCCAATCATGAACATTCAAGAGAGATCACACAAGTTTGAATTCAAGAATAAGCCTCAAGAAGAAAACAAGCACCCAATCATCCACAAAGGGCAAACAACAACCAAATAAGCATCAAGGCCTCAAATGACTTGAAGAAAAACAAAAACTCACCCAAACATGGGCTAAAAGCAAAATCACATTATTTTACAATTTTAAAATCAATAAAACAAATAAAAAAAGGAAATAAATCACATAAAAAAGATGAAAATTAGTTAAACCATAAACAAAAGTCCAAGAAAATCACCGTAGGTCAGAAACCATCATAGGATCACGTACTAATTTACTCATAATTTTAAATGGCTCAAAAATAATTTTAAACTAATTAAAATTAACTAAATAATCCAAAAATACATGGAAAATAGCAAAACCAAAAATAAAAATCAAAGAAAATCACAATAGGTCCAAAACCATCATAGGATCATATAATATTTTTCTCATAATTTTGAAATGTCTAAAAACAATTTTAAACTAATTAAAATTGGCTCAAACAAATTAAAATTCAAGAAAAATAGCAAACTAAAAAATAAAAATGCACATAAATAAAAATCAGAAAGAGAAAAAGAAGAGGAAATTTTAGAATATATTTTGGTATTTTTCTGATTAAAAATGAATTTTCTATGAATTTTTGAAAATAGAATGAATTTAAAAACAAAATAGAAAAAGAAAATAAAGCAGAAAAAATAAGATGGGTTGGATCTCGCTTTATTAAATGATGTGGCTAATCTAAGGGTCAGAAAGCACGCATCCACGATGGATCTGAGTCAACCTCATCATTTCCAATCAATAAAGGTCAAACACACATGATTAGAACAAGTGGCATGATGGACGGTGAGATCATCATCTTCAACTTCCAGCCACTTGATATTTTCATAAATTTGCAAAAAAACAAAGATCCTTCAAACCATAACCATTGGAGCTCACAATGGTTTCATCTGATGCGTCTTTTCAAGACGATCTCAACCATATCATCGCACCATATTTCTTTAAATCACAACTCACTCGATTTGGAAAAAACCAGAAGAAAATTCAAATACGGATTTAAAAATTAAACATCAAAACTCAATCGTAGCTAAAATCTAATAATTCTAGCAGCATCAGCACATTAAGGACTACATCTGAACAACAAATTTGAGTCAAAATGGTTGAGAATTGTACTTGTTGAAGTTCAACTTCGAAGCTCTGAAAATGGAGTCCTCAAGCTTGATTCGGACCAAGATTCTTCAAATTCTTGAGCTGGTTAGCTTCACTAAGTGTTGGTGAAGCTAACTGAATGGAGGATTTGAGTGATTAAGGTGTGGAAATGAAAATACAAAGTTCAAGCTTAAGAGTTCAAATTGGATCTCAACAAGTTGATTCTAGCTATCAAAACTTGTGGAAATGAGTGAAATGAGTCCCTTATTTATATGAGAAGCTTTCTGAATGCTGAGGAAGGATGAATGATGCAAATTGGAGCAAATTCGTGCACACTTGCAGCATGAGCAAAATGTGACTTGAAACTTGTCAAAACTCACTCAAAACATGTGTTTCAATGCTCTAATTAACCCAGACAAGTTTGTTAATCATGTTTAAAGAGAATTTATGGATTAATTTGATGATTAGAAGCCATTTCAACCAAATCCAATTCTGACTTGAAGTGAAATTTCAGCTTTGAAATTCAAATTTTGCCACCATGGTTCTCATAATGTAGGAGGCTTTATGAGATGATTCTTCTTGTATTGGATAGAGGATGATACAATCTTTGCAATATGAAAAGAAAGTATTGATTTGGCAATCTGAGTTGAGAAATATGATTCTTCAAAGTAGCTTGCATCAAAAGGTTCACAATCATAAAACACAGAAAAATTTCAAGTCTTTTTAGGGACCAAAATTGACCTATAATATTTGATAAAAACTAAGGTCTTCCATAGGTTTTTGGCACTTCCACCTTGAAACAAAGTTGTAAAGGACATCTTCAAGTTCATTTTAGAAAAAGAATTGGCTCTAAATAATGAAAATTGACCAAGTTATGACCTTTTGAAGTTGACTAGAAAATCCTTTCAAAACTCAAAGTGACCTATAATGTCTTCAAACGTTTGATGACATTCCAAGCATAATTGAATCTTTCCTTACAAAGAGATCTTGTTTGAGATAATGAGAAGAGTTCATTAGAAAAAGAACCACATCAAGATGTTGAAAAATGAAGAAGTTATGCCCATTTGATCTTAGCAATCACAATTTGCTAAATTAGGTCAAACACCTTGAACCAAACTTGAATCTCTTGATTATTTCTTGCAAACTAAGACATGGTGAATCACATATGATCTTGAAATTATGTTGCCTTAAATCACACTTGAGGATGGGGACCTTTGGGGTTTGATAATACCATAAAATCAAGAAGAAAACCTTGCTTAAGGTTGAAGAAACAAGTCCCTCTTACTGAGAAACAAGCCATGATACCTTGATCCTTTGTCTAGAACAATGCTATGCAAAAATGAATATGAAAATGCAATGAAACATAAGTCAAGATACAAGAGGAAAGATGGGCAAATTTTGGGGTGCTACAAGTAAGATTAATTAACACTTGATTCTTGTTGAATATATGCCCCTTGAGTGTATGGAAACTTGATTTGATGATGATCAATAAAAAACATTGACTGATTAAGCTATAATCCTCTTGATTCCAAAGGTGCAAAACCTTAATCCATATGGAACTCACACAAGAGCAAACTTGAAGCAAAGTTAGGGTTAGCAAATATGTTTGATGCTCCTAGAATGATGATGGAATCTAGGGTCAAAATTTGGAATATGTCACCCCAATTCGGAGGACCCCAAAAGTGCTCCATAAGGGATGCTGAATACCTCCGATCCCTTCCCCTCCAAAATCCCCAAACCAAACGCACCATAAAGGAATTCGAAATAAAGATCTAGTTGCCTTTCATTATTGTACTTTAATCCGACAATTTTTTTGTCTTATTTTCATAACCAAATCATTATTAAAATACTCTTGTTGTTATTATTTTAATTCCCACGTAGTTATCTCATTTAAATTCGCAATTTCGGTGAGAACGAACGTATAAATTTGATTACTGAGAAGTCATCATTTCTGCCAACAACTTGCTTATGAGGCTTATGCGGCAAACCATTGTCCTACAAAATAGAGACAATGGTTTGGGGAACAATTGATATGAACCGTTTGCAAGACCTATATAAAAAGGATTAAGAGCGGTATCAAATGAAAGAATGCAAGAAGTAGGTGGTTTCTCATTTCCTCACGCACTATTAACCGCTCATTCTATATAAGAAGAAAAATATATCATTTAAAATATTCAAATTCATTCACTTTCACGTTACTCTTTATTCTCTTATTAACTTAAATAATTGAATAATAACTCTAAATGTCAACTTTTTAAATCACATTAAAAACTTATTCTATTAGTCCAATATCTCATCTCACTGTTTTGCCAATAATTTTTAATTCCTAAATAGAATTTTTTTTATTTTTAAAAGTGTGATAGTAATTTTATGGTGACTGCCTTCTAGAATTTTCTACAGGATGATTGTGCTCTTCCTAACAACTAAATAATAGTTCTACAAAAATATATAAGAATTTAATTTTTAAAAATGAGTTCTTTAAAGAAAAAACGTCATGCCACCTAGCATTTAATATTTATTATTTTTATCGAAAAGTAAATAATATATATCACATGATACTGTAACCAAAGAAATATCACATGACATTCTTTAGAGCGAACGATTCTACCTATGCACTGCCAGCTTCCATGCACCATATCATAAATTAATTATAATGGATCTGATCCATTCCCCTTACTAATTGTTTCTAAAAAAACTAACAAATTTCTGTGTAAATTGGAGGATGCAGAGAAAGAGTACGTAAACGGACCCGCCCTCGATTTGGTGTGAGGGAGTGATACACGCCGGATAGACGTAACCTCGGATAAAGAATCTTCTTATTTGGACCCCACCAACCATTTTTTATAACGTCCTTTTTCGCTTCGTGGAAACGCGCTTCAATATACGCAATAGTAGTGCAACACGCACTTCCTTCCACCTTCCCGTGCTTCTCCTCCTTCGCCACCATCACCTCCTCCTTCTTCTTCTTCTTCTTCTTTTATTTTCATCAAATATTATTGATCTTTTCACGTAACACCTAACAACAATGGAATCAGAAAAAACCAGCACTCTCAATCTCATTTTTGGACCATACACCAGACCTTCCTACCCAATCCTCCTTCTCATCCTCACGTTCCTCGCCATCCTCTCTCTCCAATTCTCCACCCGCTCTCTCTTCCCCCTTTCCATCCTCCTCTCCCAACCACCACAACCCACCACCTGCTCCGCTTTCTTCCACCACGTTCCTCCCAGAAAAATCATCAAGTCAATCGTCGATTTCGGCGCCGTCGGCGATGGCAAAACCTCCAACACCCAATCGTTCCGAAACGCGATTCGATACATGCAACGTTTTCAAGGTAAAGGTGGGTCCCAGCTTAATATCCCCGCTGGAACGTGGCTTACCGGTAGTTTTAATCTCACCAGTGATTTCACGCTTTTTCTTCAACACGGTGCCGTTATTTTGGGTTCTCAGGTCAGGCCCTAATTTTTTTATTTTTTATATTTTTTATATTTTTTTTCCTAATTATATTATTCTTACTGAAAATGAATTAGACTTTTCAGCCTCTGCATGTGATTCCCATTTGTGTCTTTTAGTGGAGAAAGTTGAAATAAATCAATTTTTTTGTTTAAGTTTTGTTTTATGTCGTGTTCTCATTAAATCTGTTGTTTTCTGTGTATCTTTATTAGTAAAAGTGGTGAAATGTTGCTTTTGACTTGTTTATATTTGGTGGCAGTACAATTACTGCAATCACATGGAACCCACCAATCTAAATCATGATTCTTTCACTTTTGACACCTCTTTTATTTATTCATTCCATAAATTAACTTGTTTATGCTTTTAGAAATTTGATTAGAGTGTGATTTTTTATTTATGAATTTAAAGTTTTGGATTATATTTCACAGGATCCGAAAGAATGGCCTATTATTGAACCTTTGCCATCTTATGGAAGGGGAAGAGAGAGGTTAGGAGGAAGACACATTAGTCTTATACATGCTAATGGACTCCGTAATGTTGTTATCACAGGTAAACGATATAGTAGCTTTTTCCATTCTAGCAATTCCTCCTGTATAACAATAGCTTAAGGAAATAGATTATGTAGACAAAAATAGTATCAATGCACTAAGAAGCCAACAACTTATTTTGGCTCCTATACAACACTGACCTCAAACACTTACAAGGAAACGATACTGAGACATTGGTGATAGTTTGAAAATTTGAATGTAACTATACTACAATTGTAGGTCTCAGACACCAAAAACCTTTAATATCAAGTGTTAGTGCTTGCTACATCATTAATGATTCTCATATATTTGTTTATATGTATTATATTATTTGTAGGAGAAAATGGGACAGTTGACGGTCAAGGGAAAATGTGGTGGGAACTTTGGTGGAACAAGACACTGGAGCACACAAGAGGCCACCTCCTTGAACTCATGAACTCAGAAAATGTTCTAGTTTCAAATCTCACTTTCAGAAATTCTCCTTTCTGGACCATCCATCCTGTTTACTGCAGGTTTGTTTGTCCTTTTTGGCTATTTGTCTCTTCAATAGATCAACAATGTACGGCTTAAAAATCACCTAACGGCTTTGGCAAAGTATAAGAAAGGGTTCTGTTTGGATAAATCTCTTAATTTAACGCTTAAACACTTATCATATAAGTGTTTATTTATATAAATTATATCTATAATAAAAGATGAAATTAAGTCAAAGTATTTTCATATAAGTTATAAGTTGTTTCAAAACTTATTTTGAAGAACTTATGAAAATAAGGTGACAGCAATTTATGAACCATGTTATTAATATTTTTTTAAGTTCTTCTAAACAACCTCACTAGTTCTCATGCTTGGATACAAGGTCAAATTAGCCAACTTAAACAGCCCTAATTTTAGAGTACATTATTGAATATTGATAGCTTTCAGTAACTTTTTGGAACCTATTACCCCATAATTCGGTTCCTTTTATTGGAGATCTTTTTAGTGTGTGTTTGGTTCAACGGTAAAGATAATTGATTTTGGGTGAATTGATTTTGTAAAATTGATTCAGAGTAAAAGTGACTTGAAGTTTAATAAACACTTAGGTTTAATAAAATGTTTTGTTTTGATTCAGTAATGTTGTGATCAAAGGGATGACAATTTTGGCCCCTCTTAATGCCCCAAATACTGATGGCATAGATCCAGGTTCGTTTTTCGCTATTATTTACCTCTTTATTAATTGTGTTCTGTTATCCACCTTGCCTGTTGGATTATTATGAACAAATTGAAGTGATCTAATGTTATGCATAAATCATTTTATAGTCTTTCGCAAGTGATTTTCCTTATCTCGTGATTTTTCAGACTCGAGTACCAATGTGTGTATTGAAGATAACTACATAGAAAGTGGGGATGATCTTGTAGCCATCAAGAGTGGTTGGGATCAGTATGGAATCACCATGGCTAAGCCTAGTACAAATATCATAGTGAGAAGAGTTTCAGGCACTACCCCAACTTGCTCTGGAGTAGGAATAGGCAGTGAGATGTCTGGTGGAATTTCAAATATTATAATCGAGAATTTGCACGTGTGGAACTCTGCAGCCGGTATTCGTATAAAATCTGATAATGGCAGAGGGGGGTATGTAACAAATGTGAGTATAAGCAATATAAGAATGGAGAGGGTGAAGATACCAATTAGGTTCAGTAGAGGTTCGAATGATCATCCCGATGATGGGTGGGATTCAAAAGCTGTTCCTAGATTTAAAAATATTTTAATCAGCAATGTGGTCAGTGTAAATTCAACAAAAGCTCCGGTTCTGGAAGGTGTAGAGGGTTCATCATTTGAAGGCTTATGCTTCAAGAATATTACTCTTCTTGGTGTAGCCTTATCTGCAACATGGCGTTGTGAATATGTCGCTGGTTTCGCTAATGGTGTGGTCCCTGTTCCGTGTCCTGAGTTGCAGAACAATGGCACTTCTTTGTGGTGTTGACTTTGCTGACTTACTGTATGTGGAGCGTGAAAGGTTTGAAATTTCAGCAATGGTGAAAACCAGACCGTTAACTCACATTGTTGCTTGATTGAGCAGTTTCCTGAGTCGTGCTCAAGCAGATTATTTTGCTAATTGCTACATGTGAAAAATGAGTTGCAATTGTGGATTGGGCTTTGAAGCCTTTGTATGACATGAGATCTTCCTGCTTATCTCTGATGAGATGGACAAGTAATCTGATTGGTTTCAGATTTGCGATTGAAATGTGTATGATTACTGTTGAATTTGATTGATATATCATGTCATGCCCCCTCTCTAGCCCTGGTTGGTGACTATATAAGGCGGAGTTGCACCTTAGTTTTAGAGGTTTAACCAATGATTTTTCTGTTATACGGCGGAGTTGCACCTTAGTTTTAGAGGTTTAACCAATGGTTTTTCTGTTATTCGTAACTTTATTATTTTCTTGAACATTATTTGTTACTGTTGTAAATACAGTTTATTCCCTGGGAGAGAACCCAAACACGAATACACTAGAGACAAATTTGACTCAGATTTAATCTCTTTATTATTACTCTTTGATACTGAAAAATTCATTCTAAAAACATTTATTTATTTATTCAATATTTTTCTTTAAAGCAATGCCCTTCCTAGCAAAGCCAGCAGTGAACTCCAAGATTGTCACATAACTTGTATTTCTTGCAACCCCAAAACACTCATGCAAATACCTGTTACATCATTCATGATTTAAGACCTTACAAAATGGTATATTTGCATAACTTGTATTGACAAAAGCTGAGAATCAAAATGAAGATGAAACCCCATTCTTCATTTTTCTTCATGTTCCTCGTTCTAGCCTTTAGTAGCATACATGTAAGTTTAGCAGACTGTGATAATCTACAGGACACATGCCCCACATCTCTGTCAGAAAAAAAGACGGCATTCATCAATGGTATCTCCTGCAATAACCCTGCTAACAAATCTGCTCATGATTTCAAGACCATGGAATTAAGCAAAGCTGGTTCAAGAGATACGTTTGGCTCATCAGTCAATATTGTCACTGCTTCAAAGTTCCCTGGCCTCAACACTCTCGGGATCTCAATTGGTAGAACCGACATTGAAGCCGATGGAATTGTGAACCTTCATAATCATCCAAGAGCTAGCGAGATGATCTTTGTTAACGAAGGTGTATTAGAAGTTGGGTTTCTCGATACACAAAACAAGCTTTTTCAGAAGGCGTTGAAGGAAGGTGATGTATTTGTTCTCCCCAAGGGTTTGTTCCATTACTTTCTAAATCGCGGTGACGAAGTTGCAACTGTGTTTTCTGTGTTTAACAGCCAAAATCCAGGGTTCCAGTCTCTTACACCCAAACCTTCTACTTCTGAATCAATTGAGAAGATAAAGAGAAAGCTTGTATCACTTTCTGAATTAGAGCTTGATAGTGCAAATGATTTGAGTTTGGCTGTGTCCGAGATTATGTACAGTTAAACGTTTCAGTGTTTTGTATCATGATTTGATTAAATTGGAAAGTTACTTTCAAAACACAGTTCTATATGTTGCACAATGTTACTACTTACATTGAAGGCATGCTATCTGAGTCGCCGGTATTGTGGTTATTGATGATATGAATTATGCTGTAGTTTGAAATCTGATTTTCCCAAATCCTTATTAATTTGCTTCATCATCAGGTTTCCTATTTTGTATATCCCTCTTCTCTTTCTAAGTATGAATTGACAGTGTGTAATAGTACACATTTTGATGAGAGAAATATTTCAACTGGTTTGAACTAGTAGATTTAAAGATCAAAGGAGTTCTACATCATGAATTCAATATCGGACAAAAAAAAATTTTTAAATCCTAACAATTTGGCTATTAAAAAAATGTTACACATTATTCAATTAGATATCTATCACTATTAGCATATTTGTGAAGCATTTAATAAAATAATATGATGAGCTATGCAATGATAAAAATTCATTGGATAATTGGATAGTTTATTTTAAATTATCAGATACAAATTAAATTTGTAGAGTATCAGATAAAATAATTAGAAATGCTTCAATTAGATTTCAATTATATATATATATATATATATATATATATATATATATATATATATATATATATATATATATATATATATATATATATATATATATATATATATATATATATATATATATATATATATATATATATATATATATATATATATATATATATATATATATATATATATATATATATATATATATATATATATATATATATATATATATTCTTAAACTTATTTTTATAAATTTTAAGGGTGGTTGGAATAGGGATTTAAAGAGGGAGATAGATATTGTTTGAGGGTTTAGATTAAAATCTATTAATGATAATATTTATTTATTATTCTCAATAAAAACACTAAAATACCTCCTTCGAGACAAGAATGATCTACATCTCGAAAAATTATAATCGTTGAAAGTGGAGTACGGTTGAATGATATAGTCGAAATATCCAAGTGTGATATTCCTTAAGCATCCCGCCCCTATAGGCTTTATGTTTGGGGGGCTGTGTACATTCTGAACATGGATAGATTGTAACCAAGTCGATCATTGCCCATATATAAAGTACGTCATGACATAAACCGCCCATGGAAGAGAAAACCACAAGCAAACATTTACCAATAGGATCATCATGTTCCTTGGCGCAATGATCATTGTTTGAATGAATATGAATGCTTATTATACCACTTAAATGACATTTAAGTCTCGATCCAAGATTATGGAAAGAGAAGGAGTATATAAGAGGTGAGCGTCAAATCAAGAAAGGACAAACTCAATTCTTACAGAGAAGTAACTCATTGTGGCCTTTTCTGACCATCATCAGAAGAGTTATTTAATTAATGTTCTTTGCATGAATATTTGATGTCCACTATGGCCTATGGTAAAACTTGCTTGGGCCATACAACAACATTTCAAACTTTCCTAAGAGCAAGTAGCAGCAATCAGGGATCACTGATTGTTGTTGGCTGGAATTTCGACGCTCATTAATGTTGGGAGTAAGTTGAGAGATTTCAAGGTCATATTATGGAGAACAATATGATGGATTCGACAAAAAAGATATTTGACGATAGTAAAAGTTGAGTGAGTTGTTGAAGTTTGAGGACTTGTTTTTTAGGAGCAATGTACATTTCGACAGGGACATGGTGAAGATCTAGTCGAAGAAGTCTATGCATATGAGGCGCTGTGGTCCAGGACTTAGAAAGATTTTGCATAAAATTGGAATTCGATGAAGGCCATTAGGGGGAGCGTTCGATGGATGGAGTTCAATGGAGATTGGTAACCACCTTTTGGCCTTATCCATTTCGTGTGACACGTGGAAGACTTTTATGCAGCGAAATGCATATAGTGGAGAACGTGGCGCATTCTTGCGAAATAACCATTAAATGACAATTATTTTTGATATAGTATAAATGGGATGGGACCTTTAGCATTCAGAGTTAGGGTGTTCAAAAAATTATGCCTATGTGTGTGAGAAAAAGGTGTTTTTGAGAGAATGTACGTTTGAATACATTCTTTTACAATCAAAGCCATTTAAATTCAAATCATTTATTTTTACTTGCAATTTACTTCCTTGTTATTTATCTTCAAATCATTTATTTTTCAATTTCTTTCTGCAATCTACATTCCTTTTTCTTTATTTAAAAGAAATCTTCACAACGTCCCATTAACAACATTAAGAAATATTTGAGGAATATTGTACAAATGTTCGTGATCATTAAAACCAAGAACTAAATTAACAACACTTGTCCTAGGGTCAATCTAGTCGATCCTGTAAGTGACCAAAGATTTAGCAATTTTGGAGGACTAACGGTTATTTATCATTTTCAACGGTAAACAAATTGGCACACCTGGTGGAACTGATATTGTTAATTAGAATTTTGTAGAAATATTGTTTATTGTTGCAATATAACCTCCACACAACTATATCCAAGCCGACCCTAATAAAAAAACCACCAATTTCCCCTTAGCATCGAAACTCTTCTCTCATACCCTTTTGCATCTTTTCACTTTGAAGAAAGCAAATATCATTAGCTAACAATTCATCGCAAACCTGACTAAGAAATTCCCGTTGAGTACAACGGACGTGAGGGGTGCTAATACCTTCCTCTAGCATAATCGACTCTCAAACCTAAAATTTGGTTGCAACGACCATGTTCTTATCTTTAAAGATTTTCTCGATATTTTCTTGTTCCTTCATTGCAATGAATAAAGTTCGATGGCGACTCTATTCGAACATCTTTTTCCGCATCCCATCGCGAAGGATCGTATTCTTGTTTTCGAGGTACGACACTTGGACATTCGATGAAAATACTTGTTTTGGGAAAACATCAGAGCACACCATATTTAACGAAAACAATTAAAACCATAACAATATATAAGTGCCACTGCTGAAAACAGATTTGGAAAATGAACACAAACTACTTTCAAAGATGCATCTCCAGACAAGTTCATACTCGTTCTGAAGATACATTTTCGGACACAACGCTCATTTTTTTAGAAAAAATGCTTGATTAATTTGAGCAATGTAGTGGGAAATAAAAGATTTATATCTGCAATTTTATCTTCTTTTGCTCATTATGATGTGATGAACCACAAGAATGAAATTTTAGAGTGAAAAAATAGATTGTGAATGTATGGGTTTTTTGGTGAGGGTTTGTGTTGAAAAATAACAATGACAACAATGATTGTGTTTTATCAGATTATTTCGAAGATTCATCTCCGAAAATATCTGACATGCAAAGGTAAAATCCCGCCCAAATTTCCGAAGATGTACCTCAGGAATTTCTATTAAACTGATTAATAATTAATATATTTTTAAAAATCTTTTGATGATGTATTTTCGCAATAAAAATAACCAAACTATAGGATGCCACTCTGAATGACCTACGTTGAATGTGTAATGGATGTGTCCAAAGGTACATCTTCGAAAATTGAAATAATTTTTGAATTTTTCGCATGATGCCTATGAGATGCATTAAAAAATTCTCTAAATTAAATCTAGTTGGGTAACAAAATGAACTCCATGGTTGGTTATTTTTAGAAAGCAAACCATAACCATTTTAAAACCATTTAAATAGTTTGGATTCATAACCATAATTACATTTCACTCAAAACTGGGTATTGGTTACGGTTATATAATCGGTTTTAAAATGAATTTGGTTACGGTTATATAACTGATTTTAAATGAATTTTTATAAATTTGAAAAAACATATAAATTATTTTTTATCTAAAATTCTGTTATTTTTAAACGAATTTATTTATTTTTTAAAACTTAATTTAATTTTTCAAAAATTTATTTATTTTTCCCAAAAAATGCAGTTATTTTTCAAAATATTTAATTTTTTTTCAAAAAAAAGTTTTATTTTCAAAAATTAATTATTTAGAAAAAATTAAGTTTTTTAAAGTTTAATTTTTTCTAAAATATTTTTGTTTTTTTGTGTAAAAAATTAAATTTTTATACAAAAATAAAAAGTAATTATAATTGAATTAAAATGTTTGACTTTTTTTAATAATGAAATTATAATTGAATAAAAAAAATAAAATATAATTAAATAACTGATCATTAATAATTAAACTGATTAATAATAATTTTATTATAAGTAATGTTAGTAGGGCACAAATTAAAGAATACATTTATAAAATTTTTAATTAAAAATATCAGTAAAAATTAAAATTAATTTTTTTATTAAAAATAGTGTATACTCAGTGGAAACAAAACAGTTATTCCTTTGAAAAAGTTTATTCTTTATACAGCTTTGGATATGACCATGCCAATGATGTTTGCAAGGTTGTTGCTATTTCTTTAGTTAGCCACTCAAAAAAAGTAGTTAATGTTCATACTTTGGGTACTCACTATTGGAGGAGGATTAAAGACTTTACAAATTCTCTCTACATGCATGTACCGGGAGTATTTGTGAGTGGCACTGTTAATTGGTTGGCAGATGATGTTTCCGGTTGTTCGCTTAGTATCACTGTTTCTCTTGATTTGAAGACTGAGTTGTATCAAAACCTTCCTCAGCCTTATTTGGAGAAGGGTTATTTCACCTTGGGGTTGGGGGTAATAAGGGATTGCTTGTGCATCTTTGCAAAGACTGATATGTTTTTGAATGTTTGGATTATGAAAGAATTTGGAAATAAAGAGTCGTGGACTAAATCGCATGGTATTCCATACGTGGAAATTCCGGGTGTGGTTCATTTCTATACCAAGGTTGTGTATATTTCGGAGGACGATCAAGTGCTAATTGATGGTCATGAGTGGATACATCTCAATTTGAGGTTGGCTGTTTACAATGCCAAAACAGGTACTTTCAAGATTCCTAAGATTCCAAACATCAATAGGTTGGAGCCAAAAGTCTTCATTGGGAGTTTGATATCACCCTGTTCATAATGTCTGGACGGAGATTCTATGTTATGCTATCTCATTTGAACACGAGATTCAACTTCAACTTATATATGAGTTAATTTATAATTTTGTAATTAATTTTCTATTTGTTTTGATTACCCGTAACATCTAGGATCATTGTAAATTAATGGTTGATGGAATAAAAGTTGACTAATTGTTGTTCTTCTCACTTGTTTTTTTAGTTAGAGTTCTCTTATCATGTATTGCATTTTAAATAGTTCACAATCATGCATTGTTTTAGATGGTTTGTGGTTTGGTTTTCTATGATTGAACTTACAATTTAGATGTTACAATGTCAGCTAAGTGCTGCTCAAATTTCTTAATATTTGCTTTAAAATTTGCACATTGCATTGTGAACAGGACTAAATATGATAGTATAATAATACTATTTTGATGTTTATTTTAATATTCAACTTTGGCAAATATGCAGCCTTTTGAATATTGGTTTTTTGGTACTTTTTCTCAATGAGAGTTGGAACTATTTGTAAGAATTAGTATATTAGAAACATATAAGGTATAACCACCGAATTGGAGAAAACAATGTATAGAACTTTAGCATTGAAAACAATGTATTATTAGCATTGTCTATGATTATTTATCTTAGACATTTTAAACTGCCTTAAGCCCGTTCCACATATAGGGAAAGAGTCTAAAGTTGGAAAGGCACAGCCCTTGTGTTGAGATTTTAAAATTTATTAAATCACATCATAGTTAGTATATGCTCTGGAAAGTGTTCTAGAATGGGTGAAGCTCACTTTTAATTTCTTCCAATTCTAAGACTTATTTGATCAATTATATCCGTGAAAGAAAATTCATTATTCTTCAACATCCATAACAAAAGTTCTATCTGACAGTTCAGCTTATGGAACCAAAAAAACAGGTTGTTAATTGTATATGGAAGCATTCTGATGCATTGACAGCGTGTCTTACCTGTGATGTGCTGTCCTCAGTCATTAAGCTGGTAGGGAAGAAGATGGCTCAGGTTCTACAATTATGCAGTTTAGTAGAGAGATTCATTCTACTTTTCAGACATGGAAAATAAGCTGTGTATTTGCTAAAAGTACAATACGTGACAACCCCTAGTGACTAAGGGCTGTCAGAGGTTTTCAGAACTTGTTGCGAGGTTTAGAGTTAACTCACGCAGAAATGTGAGAAGCTCTGTATGTAGTATTTGCATAATGAAATTGGATCCTTATCTCAACCCTTAGACTGAGGTATTTATAGAGGTTTCTTTGGGTTTGGACTGAAAAGAGATTATCCACTTTTCTTGACCAGGTACTCGGGGAGGAAGGAATATATCCTTCCTTGGATCGTGGAGGTGGTGTTTATCCTCCTTGACTTCCTCTTTGAATCCGTTGTAGTGGGACACATCATACACCGTGTCTGTGGAGAAGTGGGTGATGGAAGTAAGTCAGGTGGGTGAAGCCCAATCGGGCAACTTGATATGTGTATCTAGGCGACTTCACAGCCCATTTCAGGCTGCCTAGGACTTCAAGGAGCAGCTCGTCCCCGCCAGTGTATTGATCTTTAAAGCCCCTTTGGTTGACTATCCTCTTTAAGGACCCTAATAAAATTATAATGCTAACAAAAATCTTGTGTTTTAGTGCTGTATTTGACCTATTTGTATCACAGGTGGTATTTGAAATTAATCCAGTTGAATCATACAAAACTAGGCAAACATGAAATTGTATATATTACATAGTTCAGCACTCCAACTGAAAGGTTATTACAGCCTCTCATAATTGAGCTTCTCTGACTGCAGTAAAAAAAGGAAAGACTCAGTGCTTCCAAAGGACTAAAATGAAAAGAAATCAAGTATTTATTATTAGATTGTAGCAGCCGTAAGTTAAACATTACCTTAATAAGCATGTATGTAGGAAGCCAAGCTGGAGCTGTTGGGACTCCTACCCATGCAACCTATGAGTTAAGCAAGGGTAAGGTTTTTGTATCAGAATAATTTTACCATAATTGAAATTATATACTCCTATAGCACACCATTGGTAAGTTACTTACAAGTGCATGCTCTCCGGTTTCAAATATTCGCATATCCAGAACCTAGAAATACAAATTTAACATTTCCAATCAGATAAACACTTATCATATAAGTTCTTATGCATAAGCTTATCTTATTTGTTTACCTCGCCACGGTCTTCATAAATGTAGTCCAATCCTTTGTAATAAGGTGGGTGTCCAACAGAAAGATACTGAAGCATTAACCTTGTACATGTTATGTTAGTATTCCTCACAGTATAAATGAAACTAAATAAACAATCATGTTCTTACATTGATGCTACTGAGATATTTCTCCTTGTCCACTCTCACAATCTGGCCTTTCTTCACTGTCCACAAATTAACAAAAATGAATCACACAGACAACAACATTCACTATATAAAATCAAAATTCAAATAAATAGTGATTGGTCGGTCGACTCACTGGAATAAACAGGTTTCTTGGGAAGAGCCTTAGGGGCAGCAGTTGAAGACTGAGCAGTACTAGATGAGGATGAGGAAGCATCACTCTTATTAGTCTGTGGCTGTGAGCTGCCACCAGGTTCACCGGCTTGAGCCGCACGAATCAATGGAAAAGAACAATGTCCATGTTTCCTTGTCAATGTTTTCGAAAAATGAGAAAGAGAAGGGAAGGAGGTGTAGTAGCAGAGGTTCACACAGAAAGCCATGAAAAGAGATGCAAAGCCATACAAACTATATAGATAAGAAAAAAGATGATACTTTTTTGTTTTATTGTTAGTGACAAAAATTCATTACACGCTATTAACATAACATAGAATTGATGATTAATTAGAATATGCCATGTCATTAAAAAGTTAGGAATAATAATAAATAATAAAAAAAATAATATTTTCATAAAATAGCCGTGGAATTGACGAGAAAAAGTAAAAATAAAAACTGATGCTATGAATCTCTCTTCTCTCAGTTTTACCGCTCAGCATCTTGTTGCTCCTCTATATTCTACGCTTCCCACTGCTGCTACTAGGTTTATATAATTTCTGGATTTGTTTCAGTTCACTTTTCGTTTGGACATTTTCTCAAACAGGTTGTGTGTTTGGATTTTACAGGGGCAAAAGTGCGGATAGTGTTGCAATTGAAGGTCGTAATCTTAATTTTTCATTCACCGCGAGGCAAAGTAATGATGTGCAGGTTCTTAGAGATTGCTCTCTTCGTATTCCTTCAGGGCAGTTTTGGATGCTTCTTGGACCCAATGGGTGTGGAAAATCAACACTCTTGAAGGTACCATAGAAGCAACTCTAGTAACAGGTGTAATTAGAACTAACAATAGTAATGTAACTGTGAGCTTTACATGCAGATTTTGGCTGGTCTCTTGACTCCATCTTCAGGAACAGTATATGTGAAAGAACCTAAAAGTTTTGTTTTCCAAAATCCAGATCATCAGGTTTGGCTTTTTTTTTGTTGCTGATTGATTCATTGCTATATTTCTTCTAGGTTTGAATGTTGGGTTGGTTATGTGAGAAGTGACAAAAACAATTGAGTCTGTTATATTCCAAAAGGAAATTCATTGGATTTGTTTTCCATGAGAATGAAAATATAGGCTAAAGTTTATTGTCAGATTTTACAAATTCTAAAGTCAGTGAGTGTGCCTTATCAAATTTAGACCCATGTTGAAGTTAGAAATGGAGGAACAAAATTTGAAGTTTCAATTTTGAATTTACTTTTGATACAATACTAGTGTAAAAGTTTAATATTGTCAGTGAATCATAACTAATCATGCGTGTCATTTTAATATCGTGCTATTGCTTCCTTGCTATCTGTAGACTCAAATTTGTATAGCTCGTCTGAAATGTAGTAGTTCTATCTGAAAAACAGGGATATAAAAGTCTTTATGTGATTATCCCTTAACACAACTAGCTACCTACAATTAATTTGCTCAAGCCAACTTTGAGACATTTTCCAACCTTTCCATATGCCTTATTTGTTTATTTTGCAAGCAAACAAATACTCCCTTCCGCAGTTTTTATTGCCATTGCCACTGTCCTGAGTCCAGGCTGACCACAACTAGTTCCCGATCAACATTCTAGAGTTTTGATTTTACTTTGCATCTAAAAGTTTAAGAAGTGGGCACTGACAGGTTTAGTTGGAGAAAATGTTTTCACTAATAATTTAACAGGGGTCTTGTTAATGGTGACTTAAGGGCATTGGTTTAGGAGTTAAAAAATGGAAACTATTTATTGATCAGTATGACATTTAATAGCTTTATGACATTTAAGATGGGTCTTGTTAAGTTGATACAAGGTGCCTCGCGAAAGGGAAAAGAGAGGAGATTAATTTAGTTTAGTGCATTCCATGCCAATTCTTCTTCAAACCTTCCTGTAAATTTTCCTTTATTATTTAGCACAACAAATTTACTTGATTTATCTTTTCTGCACACTCTAATTAATAACAACTGATCATAAGAGTTTCATTGTCAATGGTGCTTTCTTATGAATTTTACTCATTCAATTAGATCTACTTACTAAAATGCACCTGAAGTGTATCTTCATTTTAATGTTATCTTGATGTCTGCAGCACAGATAAAGCTGTTGTGATTCAAAAATTAAAAAACATTCACAAAATGCATAATCAAAAACTTGATTTTATTATCAATCTATAATTACTGAAAAAGTTCCACTGGTTTTAAGAGTACAACTTGAATGTGTATCAGTGTATGTATTGTCTATTTAAGAGTAATAAGTCTGTAAAGTGTGTAATATATAGTATTGCATTTGTAACAGGTGGTGATGCCTACAGTCGATTCTGATGTTGCATTTGGTCTTGGTAAAATCAATTTGGCCGATGATGAAGTCAGATCCAGGGTGTCCCAAGCTTTACATGCTGTCGGTTTAGCTGACTACATGAAGGTATCATGGACTTCGACTTGAACGCCAAAACAATGTGTGAATTGTACATATAATAAATGAACTTTCCCTCTGTTGCAATGTTCAGAGATCTGTCCAAACTCTGAGTGGTGGCCAGAAGCAGAGGGTTGCCATTGCTGGTGCTCTAGCAGAAGCTTGTAAGGTTCTGTTGTTGGATGAGCTCACAACGTTCCTGGATGAAACTGACCAGGTGATCTTTAAATTGCGATGTTTTATGCCTTCATTGCCATGTAATCATGGTCATCAGTCCTAATGATAAATTGCAATTTGTCTTTGAAGTTTGGATATGATGTTTCAGCTTATGCTCTCTGCATGTCACTTGTTTTTACTTTAAAATGTCATTTTTATTGATCATAATTCACAATTTGGAAATAGGTCTTCAAATTCACAATTTTGAATCTCTAAGTTGATAACCATGTTTGTTATTTGTAAATAATCATGAAAAAATTGATATCCTTGAAATGGCATCAATGAGGAAATTATATCAGCTACTCAATACTAGCAGGAATCACTGTTTTTTTTTCTTTCCCGTCATATCATTTATAACCCTATGCCTTTTATCCGCATCTGACATATGGTGATATGCACGCGGACAGATAACAATTTATTTTTTCTTACCACTGAACATGAGGGCTTTTGACGTTTTGGCGCAATACCAACACTTACTGATATATGTTTCACACTTTACCTTAAAAGGTTGGCGTTATCAAAGCTGTTAGAAACTGTCTGGATACTTCTGAAGAAGTTACAGCATTATGGGTCACTCATCGTTTGGAAGAACTAGAGTATGCAGATGGTGCAATCTACATGGAAGATGGAAAGGTAGTCATGCACGGAGATGCGGCAAGCATAAGGCGTTTCATCGAAGCCAGACAATCTGCCTATATTAACCAGATTAATTCTTAAACAAGTCTCTTGGTATCTGAAAATATGTTTTTTGTCATGCATTGAAACTAAACTCAGCATGATTGAAAGGTTACATCACAGTATCACATTTTATTTTTTCTCTTTTGACAAATAAAACTCAGCACGCTTGAAAGCTATGGTTGCCATACTTTTATTTTTTCAGTTGATATGTAACTAAAAACTTGGAACAAGTCCACTATCGAAAATTAGGTAATATTCCTTTGATAATTCATGGCTGAAATGTCAGCACACCATAAGCAAGTGGATTCTAGCTGATATATGTTTATTTTCAATGAAATTCATTTTGGTCTCATAGACAACTTGGTACATAATTTAAATGGTCCCATAAAGTCAACACTTAGATAACAAGTTGCCTTATTTTATTTTTTTGATACAACCACTATTGAAATAAAAAATATTTGTGCTTTCCAATTATTATTATTATTTATTTATTTGAATGAAGATTCACTTAGCCCCAAAACAAACTGAGACTTAATTTGATCTTTGAAAATTTTAGTCCAACTTTATTTCTGTGATCACTATTAGAAAGAAAAAAAAAACAACTAAATCACAATAATTTAAAAAGAATAATTTCATCCCTAACAAGAATTGAAAAGGGACAACTTAGTTTATTTATGTAAAAGAAAGAAAATATCCATATATAATTAGTTTATTATTCAATAAATTGTTCATTTTTTCTTTCTTAACATTTAAACAACCACCGTCTATATAAATACTACATCTTGTTAAAATAATCTGAGTAACATTTATTTTAATGACTTAATTGCAATTTTGGTTCTTCTATTTTGTGTTTTTTGAGTTTTGATCCCCCCATTTTAAAAACCACGATTTTGGTCCCTTTTTTAGGTTTCAAGATTAATATTAATCTTTTTGTCATTTTAAGTCATGGTTTTAATGAGGTGGCGCGTTGAATGTTGTGTCATTTCCATGTCATTAACTTAAATATTATTTCATTTTCACAAATTTAATAAAATAAAACTTAAAAAAAAAACTCATTAACTTAAATATTATTTCATTTTCATCTTCAACCCATTGTAACCATTTTCATCTTCCCATTTCTTCACGAACGCATTTCATCTTTCCATTTCTTCACAGCTCGCATTTCTTCTTCCCATTGTAACCCATTTTCGTCAACAAACCCATACCAGCCCTCCTATTTACCAACATGTCCGAAACTAATTTTTCTTTTTCCTCAACAAATCAGTCTGGGTCTGGTATAAGAAGAAGAGGTAATAGATGTTGGTGTGAGTTTGAGTCACCGTTGATGACGTCATGAACATACGATAATCCCGGAAGAAGATTTCATGGGTGTGGTAATTTTAAGGTGATGAGGAAAAAAGGATGTAATTACTTTCAGTGGATTGATGAAGACATGAGCAGTCGTGCTAAAGATGTGATAAGATCTTTGAAAGACAAGAATGAGGAGCTCATGGATGTGATTAAGGACATCAAGAAAAATGAAGATTTGTTGAAGATGAAAATTAAGTTTATGTATTATTTTGTGGGGTTATCTTTGATATTTGTCTTTTTAATTGTGTTTGCATTAGTTGCAACACATGTACTCAAATGATGTAATGTCAAATGTTGTAGTTACTTTGATGTTTATGTAGTTTCCAAATGAACTAATTTCAAATGATATGTGATGCTTTTCTGTGTTAATGAAGAGTTATGTTGTAGTTACTTTGATTGTCTTCAAATGATGTTTATGGAGCATAACCTTGTATTATGTTCAAACAGTTTGAAACAGATTTTATGTGCAAACAGTTTGAAATAGATTTGTGTTGGGTTACATAACAGGTGAGCTATCAACAAAACATGTAAACATGTAAATTGCAAAACACATGAGCTATCAGCAAAACACATGAGCTATCAAACGGGCAGTCTAAATTCATTATAAAAAGCCCCAAATAGTAGGCTAAAGAGGTACACACATTGAGAAGCACCACATGAAGCATTTTGGCAAGAACGTTTTGATTGAAGGTACACACAAGCTGTACACATAATAACAAGCAGTAAATTGTAACTAAAGAGTTGTGAAAACTAAAGAGTGTTAACATGTTAACAAAATTGTTTTGGCTGATATTAGAATACTATTTCAGAGAATTATTCATGAAACACCAAGATAAACACCACAATATTGAAATAGGATCACTGTTATTCTTTATGTGATACAGCAAAATGTTAACACTGCAGGATCAGGTGTTTATATTAAACTCTTCTACAAGTTAAATTGTCATTTTACTCTTATATATCCATTTAATAGAAGAATTTGACACAGTAGTAAAGAATACTTCATAACACTTCAATTAACAGTGAATGTATACATTACGTGCTGATGTAACAGCACTACATAACATAACATTGAAGGCTGATGTATCAAGACTGATGTATCATTACATTGACGGCAGCATTAAAGACAACATATTTTAACAAAAAGACATTGAGTATTTTGGTCATAACATTAACGCTAACCTCTTCATCTACTCCATCAACACTAACCTCTTCATCGTTTGCTCCCTCGACATTAACTTCATCGTTTGCTCCTTCACCATTGCCTTTTTTTACCATTATCCTCCTCAACACTAACCTTTTCATCATTTGCTCCTTCACCATTGTCTTTTTCACCATTATCCTCCTCAACACTAACCTCTTCATCATTTGCTCCTTCACCATTGCCTTTTTCACCATTATCCTCCTCAAAAATAACATCCTCAATACTTATTTCTTCAACTTTGTGTTCAACATAAAGATCAACTACCTTAAATCCTCTAACATCCTCCATTAACCTTAAGACATCATTATAATTGTTAAGAGGCCGAAGTCCTCGAGAAAAGGAAAAATTAGGATTCCAATACCATAAACGCTTTATATTACGATACCCCTCACTCTTGATCAAATCTTCAATTTGCATGTAGGACATCAAGTCCACATCCCAATCCCAATTCATTTCACTTACAAGCCCATCAACAGACAACAAAACTGGATTCTGAATTAAATGTCCTCTGTGATGTACTCTAAATCTGACAGCTTCGGTATCAGAGGGCCTACAAAACACAAACGACAGTTTCTGAATTAAACCATATATAAAACCGAGAGTTGGTATTAACAATTCATATGCTATGATAGAACACAAACGTCATTTGCATGTTTAGGGTTTTTGTATTCAGAGGTGAGTTACGAAACATACCTCGACACGTAACTTTAGTTTGCCATTTCAGAGACGACGGGAAGCAAACTGCGGTTTGATATAAAACTGGGTTTGAAGAAATAGGAAGATGAAAATGGGTTACAATGGGAAGAAGATGAAAATGAAAATGAAATAATGTTTAAGTTAATGGATTTTTTATTTAAGTTTTATTTTATTAAATTTGTGAAAATGAAATAATATTTAAGTTAATGACATGAAAATTATATTTTAACTGACATGGAAATGTCACGTCAACATTCAACGCGTCACCTCATTAAAACCATGACTTAAAATGACAAAGGGAGTAATATTAATCTTGAAACCTAAAAAAAATAAATCAAAATCTTAATTTTTAAAATGGGAGGATCAAAACTAAAAAAATACAAAATAGGAGACTAAAGTTACAATTAAATCTATTTTAATTTTTTGAACACGTGGCTACCATTATTTGGATACACTATGAATATATATATATATTTTTTAATATTTTGGAGTATTTTAGAGTCCTTTAAAAAATGAATAAATCGTTGTGATTATTTATATTTTAAGCTAAGCACGATTACACATGAATTAGAAATCTAAATCACAGACATAATTGAGCAAGAGGAAGAAGAATCTTGTGACTTTTGAATATTTCCCTCTTTATTAGAAACTCTTGATGCCTCGATCATAAACAAACAAGAGTTTCTCAAAAAAGGAACTTTTTTCTTTACTCAACAACTCAAAGTTGCCGTAACAGAGTCCCTTCCCGCACCGCCGTGGCGCGATTCGCACCGCCGTGAGCGTGAAATGAAGTCTTCTTCGGATGATGAACATGACGAAGAAAACGGAAAGTTATTGGAGAAGAGCAAAGAGAGAGGTTCAAGAAATGCAAGGGTTGTTAAAGTACATAATCAAGCCTTATTATCTGGACTTGCTTATTGTCTTTCCTCTTGTGGCATGATTTTAGTTAACAAAATTATACTTTCTACTTATGATTTTAACGCTGGAATTTCTTTGATGGTTTATCAGGTAATTTATTTATTTATTTCCCTTTTTATGTGTTTTTTTTACTCTAACTTTGGTTACTTTATAGTTTAATAATGATGGAAAGGTTGATACTTTTGTTGATCCAGAATTTCATTTCAGTGATTATTGTTTCTGTGTTGAGCCTTTTGGGTTTAATCTCAACTGAACCACTCACATGGAGATTGATTAGAGTCTGGTTTCCTGTCAATGTTATATTTGTTGGAATGCTAATTACAAGCATGTTTAGGTATCAACTCTTCAACTTTCTGTCTATTATAGTGCTTTCTTTTATCTTTCAGTACAATATATCCATACATCACAGAGTAGACACAGCACTCACAAGTCGACCACAGTAATAACTTCGGAAAATGGTTTTCATATGTGCCGGTGTCTTGTCAGATGCAACACACCTTTGATTAGAAGTGTCAATGCTAGTGCTAGTGCTACAAGGCAATATATCGGCAAGCTAACAAAGGGGGTGACAGGGCTGATACTTTGTGACTGGTTTTCTAATAGCAGGAGGCACGCACTGCCATTAGCTTAGCGATAAAAATTAGAAAAAGGACAGATTACAATTCTTACAATTTAGGCATCTTGTACCCATCATATAAAATGACACTATAATAGAGGGGGGTGTTAACCATAGAATTTAAACAACGTAGATGCAATGGAGTGATGCTTATGGTGTAACTTGTGACAGAAAAGAAACTCTTAAACATAAAGAAATTCTTTACCACCCAACTATAAGATCTGTAATGTTGTATGAGATTGAGTGGTAATAAGT